GCCCTCGATCTTAGGCTTCTTGTGCTGATCGCCGTCAGCTCCAGCTCCAAATTCCGCGCTACTTACGATCCGGCTCGCCACCGGCATTGCGCCTCCTCCATCCCCACACACGTTAAGGGTTCTGGATATACCTGTCCCATTCTTCCCTCTACTATAGCTGATCTTACATTGCGTATTGGAGAGTGACGAGGTTCTCCTTTTCTAGTTCAACGTCGTGTCTTGTTCTTGGACAAACTTTGATGGTAAAGCTTTTTCTCCACGTCAATAACGGTGGCCATTGTGTTTGCTTGCTTGTCTTTGTTTTCTTAAGTTTTAGATCACGATTGTTGGACTGGAGGAAGAATCATATGCAGGTTTCCCAAGGGGTGATTTTCCATGCCTTCTAAATGGCATGGTAAGCTTACAATTGTCTCTTGTAATCTTTGTGCTCTAGCTTGGTGTGGAACTTTTGGAGAGCGTGGGAATTTAACTGTCACACTCCGGAAGAGTCTTCTAAGTGTACACTTTGTTTTATCTTGTTCGTTCTCTCTTAAGTTTTTCCTAGCATTTTGACATCTGGGTTATAAGAGGCCAGTGGAACTCTCTAGAGTACACGAGAACGAAGTTGTACTGCTTTGATTTTGTTCTGGGTGCAGCTTCATTCCTTTGCTTCGCTTGGTGTTTTTCTCGACAGACTGTTCTTAAATTTGGTTTCCTTGAGTGATCCAAAGCGTTTCTGTTTGAGTCTTGTTACAATTGCAAGCTCTGCCTATCTCTGCCTAGCGCGTACTGGAAAATGCGATATCTAGCCAGGATTCTGGCAAATTCGACAGGCAAAGTGGTTTCTTTCTTTCGTTTTTCTCAATCAGCGCTTAACCTTTGCCGGATACATTGAGGCATTTTGTGACGCTTGCTCGGACCACAGCAAATCCGTGAAGCTGCAAGGAGCTTGAGTATAGCAGAAGCAGTGATAAACACCATGACCCCTGGTAAGACATGCCTGCTGTTCTCTCGTTCTCAGTCATTGTTTCTGTAGAAGAACCTGAGCTTCTTAAAATAAGCATATATCTGTTCTCTATTCTTGCGGGTTGTCCAGCTTATATCTCAACTATACCAATGCGTGCTCAAATGAGGAACTTGGCAGTGAAAATGCAGGGCAGAAAGATGCCAGGACTGGGAGACCTCGAGGAGCTAAGCAAGAAAGGCAAATCGGAGTGCCATTGGAAATAAACGAGGACAGAGTAAGAAAAGGAAACATGATCTCATCTCTATTAACCAGATATGGTTTGTGTGATGGAGGTATAGCTCAGCGGTAGAGCAATCGGCTGCAGTCCGATAGGTCACTAGTTCGATCCTGGTTACCTCCTTGAAATGAATGAATTTATGGAGGATTCTACTGGGCGATGAAGAGATTTTTCAGGTAATTTGTCTCTAGATTTCTGGTCTCACATCTAGATTCTGACAATCAATGTAGGTGGATCAAAGGCAGAAGCTCATTGAAAGCCTGTTTTATCACGCGTGATAGTTTTTCTTTCTGTCCTCACAGGAGGAGAGTGCCTACTTTTGATTAAAAAAAATTGGAAGTTCCTTTGGTACCCGGTACTAGTGATGAATTCTCAAGAGAAAACTTTGATGAGAGCTAACGGAAGAAATTGCTGGAAGCTCTTGGTGACGACGGAGGCTCGAAGAAAGGCGCTTGGGCAGAAGCTCAAGCCAAGTGAGTGATCCCAGAGGCAGTATTGGACAACCAAATGCCAGTACATGGATATTGTTCTCTTCTTCGAAGTGGTGAGATATGATCGTGAGTTTCTTTTGTCAACTCGAATTTTAATTGATTTCTTGCAGGGGAAGTTCTATGAGAAGTCGGGCACAAAGAGCTCGACTAGTTGGAGACAGGTAAATGCGTATTGCGTCCCAAATTTTAGGCTTCATCTTGTGACAGGTTGGAGTGCGTGAGAGTGGAATTGAAGACGCTGTTCAGAAACTTGTAGCGCTACTACAAAGTCGTGTTCTGCTTTTAACTACTGGCAAGCAATAAGAACCTTGATCCTGTGCAAAAGAGATACGAGAGCTCCCAACGTGGTCATAGCAGCGTCTTTAGCTCTAAAACAGTGGCTGGTTCAGGGAAGTCAGAACTTGGATGCAAAGGTGTAAGAAACCAATAGTAAAGACGCTGCACAACATCATTATACATCATAGTCTAGACTACAGACCAGGACGATCATAGCGTTGAAACACTCGGCAAGAGACCTCCTATTTCGTAAAGCACCTCTTGAGGTGCTATCTGCAATTTACATGCGTCCGTGAGCTACCTGAACAAGCTTTCTCTACCATCTGCGGCTCAGATTATCAGAAGTCCAAACACTTATGAAAACTTACGGCCACTCTGTAGCTAGGGACGCGGAGATATATAATGGCGTTCTCTGTGCGCATGAACTATACCGGGGCTTTATGAGGCTTGACGGTCAGACAATAGCCAGCTTAGAGTTGCTTGGGCTGGTAGGTTAAGGGTGTGAGAGGCGTGCGAAAATATTATGCGTGATTGTGCAGGAAGCCTCATAGGATACCTTGACAGCTGCGCGACTGCTTCCACTTCAAGACATCAAAGCTATAAATCATCGGCTAGATTCAGTCGAGGAGCTTCTGTGCAATCCCGAATGTGCTGCTGAGTTGGGAGCATTACTCCGAAAGGTGCCAGATCTAGAGCGACTCAGTGCCCGCTTACGGGGATTTCCTGAGAGTTCTTTCGCTGAAGTGTTACTACCTCTTGCATTTCAAGTTTCAAATATGTTTGTTTTCTTTTTGCTGACCCTGTTCAACTGAGCTGTAGTTGAAGACATTGTGCTGCTGTTTCGGGATTTCTGCGTGCTTACCATGCCGAAGGCATGTCTTCTACGTTGAGCTTGTTAGCTATTAAAGTCGAAGAGCAGCACCAAATGTGTGCAGAGCATTTCTCTCACGTCGTGTTTGGCCGCAGGACGAGGACGAGGAAACGCAAAGAAAGACTTTGAGCTGGATGATACTCGAGTTTAACAAGCATCAGCGCCACTGGACAGCCAGTGTTGATGCATTGAGCACTTTGCCTTGGTAAGCCTCAAAATGGGAGGGAAATCTACATTGCTCAGAGCAACGTGTGTGGCTACTCTCATGGCACAAGTAAGAAGTTCCCTTACTTTTTTGCCTTTAGCTTCTTTCTTTTCATTTTTCCTTTGCACAGCTTGGCTGCTATGTTCCAAGTGAATGGTGCATCCCTCGTCGAAGAGGATGGACCCAGCTTCTGCGCATTCGACCATGAATGTGCCTAATTGGCATAAGTATATCGGTCCTGAATAAAAGAAAGTAATATGTAGCTTACTCTCGCCAGACATGACTCTATCACGAGCTCCAATACGAGTGAATATGGTGGCCATGCAACTAGCAACTCGCTGGTGATCCCATGCGTCTTGAAAGATGAATACAATCAAAAGCGTTAGGACGAGCTTGGCCGGGGAACCTCCACTTTGATGGTTACGCTGTAGCTTACGCGGTGAGTTGAATTCAGCTTTTATCTTCTCGGCTGAGTGAAAGCTTATAAGAGCTTGTTCTTCGCGGCAGGTTTTCCGGCATCTGGTGGAAGCAGTGGGATGCACGCATTACCACCCGCTGACACAGGAATTCTCTGGGCATCCACCATGCTCGTCTGAGAGCAGCTCCAGCGACAGGCAACTGGCGTTCTTGTACAAGCTGAGGGCCGGCGCCAGCCCTGCGAGATTTGGCCTCCAAGTAGCTCTTCTCGCCGCGATTCATCGACGCTGCGAGAGGTGCTAGCGAGCTCATTGCTCCGCGGCTTCGAGGTGGCAAGCTAAATTGTTGGCTGCGACGGGTTTTCTCCACGGCCATGGACAGCGAGAAGATTACAAGTCGTTGCTAGGCCTGTGAAGCCAAATGCTTAGTACTACTATGGAAAGAAAAACTTTCTCCAGTAGATTCATACTCTGCCATCCATGCCGTCTAGAGCACCACGCCACATACCACTGACTGGCGGGAGCTGCGCAACGAGAGCACTCCACGGAGGAAATCCCACACCGCTGCCTCTAACTCGTCCGTCCATTCTCAGTGACAAGTAGACTGGCTTGTCCTCTGGAATGTTCGCAATCTTCTTTTGCTCGCTCAACCATCTGTGGACAAAGTATATCATCAACTAAAGGAAAAAAAAAAACAGAATCGAAACTTACTTTGTCCATTCAGAGGTGTAGATTGGAAGCACGATCCATCTCCGAGCTGCCGCTGCTGAATCGTCATCTTTTGCCTGTGACTTTTGGGCCTGAAAGGAAGAACTCTGGGATTCTTCTGTAGACGCTGCCGGTGGTGTTACAAACGGAACCAGCGTCACACCACGTTCTAGCAGCTGCTCCTGGAATGGTAGACTGAGCTCCAGTGCTTGATCAACATGGGACTTCGGGCCGGCAATTATGACGAACCTAGCACTTCCTCTCATTTGTTCCAGCGTCGCGACTCGCTTGTTTCCCAGCTCAACTCTCAGCGAAGCCAGTGATTCCTCCCGGCTCAGCTTGGCGAGTTGCAAGTCTCGAGCCTTGGTGTCGGACCGGTAGAGCAGCGCAAATACCACGATGGCGGCCACGTCTATTCCAAGACCTTCCAGCACTTGACCGAGCGATGCGTTGTTCTCGACTGTTGCATTAGGAGAGTTCGCGAGCGCAGCAATGAGCCGTGGCAAAGCAGTCAGTGCCGCTATGGTTGCACTCGCCATCAGAGCTGGGTATAAGAACAGCCTCAGTGAACGGAATGGAGAAATGACCTCCTCTCTGATCCTTGCTTCTCGACTGGAATTGTTTTCCACGGTGAGTAAACTACAAGCATTTTGGAAGTCGCTGCTTACCTGATGCCTCGCTCGTCCTTGATGCTGCTGCACTGGAAATGTATTTTGCTGCGTCGGCTTAGTGTCTTCTCGCCATATTGCTGCAATTTCCAGCGCCAGCAGCCACAGCTACGGCTGCTAAAAATGTGTGGAGAACGCAACATTTCTCCAGCGATGCGATAAGACGCCGCCCTGGAAACTGCTTTATAAAATCTCAAGTGTGACTCGGCTAAAAACAAATGAAGTACCGCTAAGCAAACCACCTCTCGCAAGTCTGCTGAGTCTTCGTCACTTGCCACTGCTGGCTGAAGCCAATCTTCATGTCGTACTCGAGCTTCTTGTAGCAATTGTCTTGAATGTTAATAGCCAGCTGTACGTCTTGTGTATCTTGCTGGACTTCCTCAATCTAGTTGACATCACCATTTCGAATCAACTCTAAAAACCGCGTTCTCTGAATACATACCTGCGATTGTTTCTGGAGTAGCAGCTTTTCTAGCTCGTTGATCCGTGTATCACGAGCCTCCAAAGTGTCCGTGAACGTGGTCTTACTTAATGAAAGCTTCTTTTGGATTTCTTGAAGCTCCAGGTCTCTCCTCTGTGCAGCAGAAATAAAATTCGGAAGTTTTACGCTTGATAATAAACCGAGCCCGTACCCGGGAGCTGCCTTCAAGAGCCGCAAATTGGTTCTCACGATCTTCAAGAAGCTTTCTTAACGAAGCAGCAATCTGAAAAGCGCTGCTTAGCTTCTGGTGCGACTCATCAGATGTTCCGTCTAGTTTATCTGCGGTTTCCTTCAAAGCCTGAAATAAATCTATCGGTGAAACTACACGCTTCAACGTGCACATTAAAAAGCTCACCTTTTCGTAGGAATCTACTTGCACAGACTTCTGTGATAGCTCAACTTGAACGTTCCTCAATGCTTGCTCCAAGCTTTGAACATGCAGAGCATGGTACACCTCTCCCGCTACGTCTTCTGAATTTTTCCTTTGCAGATTTTTCTGGGAAAACTATGAACTTCCAAGCTTGTCAAAATGATAAAATTCAGTACCTGCAGGACATTGGCATCCTTTTCAAGCTCCAGAATGCGAATTCTTTTTTGTTCTAAATCCCCCCTCATCGAGCTTTCTATGATTGCTGCGTCCTCAAGCGCATGTTGAAGGTCGTCTTGTCGTTTACACTTGTCACCAATTCTTGTCATCAGAAAAGCAATCTCCGAAGACATCATGTGCAAGCGATCAACCAAGTGAAGGTTCTCAATGTCCACAGTGGTAGTCCGATGCTTTTGAGCCTCGAACTTCTCCTAAAAAACAAGAGCAATAAGTTCATGAAGCAATCTAGAAAATAAAAAAGAAAAGTGTACCACTGCTTCAAGGAGATCAGTCTGACACTTAAAACTTGCTGTCAATGCATTTCCAAATGTCGAACGCATCCAAGAATGAAAAGCGGCTCGCAGACGAGCACCTTGCCACCAGGAAGCTAAAGAATGCTGCATCTCACTTGCATGCCTCGTCCAAACCATTTCTTCCCACCAGATCAGTAGTATCCTCCTTTGCACCTTAGCACACGATATTTTTTTTCTTTGAGAAAAGAGAGAGATAGAGATCGAGAACGTCACCTTAGACTCAATTCTATGCCGATGTACGATGGCCTTCTTTTGCCTCTTCTTCCTGTCAGATAAGCAGTCAGCATATCGTTCATGCTAGCCTGTTATCACACAACTTTAAGGATTGAAGTACGTGGTAATCCATCCAAAACCCCATCGCTGTCTTTATCAGAGCATGATTGAATCCCATCGTAGCTTTCGCTTCGGCCTTCAAAAACTCGATATTGTGTTTCCATATCTTCAGCTCCTACGGGTGAAGACAAAGCAGATTAATTTGGTACAAAGATAAGAAAGACAGACACACGAACCTGGCGCTTTAGACTCTTTTTGTAGTAATCGTGGGCAATTGCGTTGGACGCAGATATCCGTCTCTTACCTTTGACATATTTATCCCAGCATCTCATGACCAAATCGCACCAGCGACCCCTTCTGAAATTATTTGCTCTGTGATGAAGAAATCTCCGAGTTTTTTTCACCTGTACAATGTGCAGCCACCTGCGAATGCAACAACGTAACTTTGACATCGCAAGTTACAGCACTTACTTGTGGAAAACGACTCTTAGGCACCATTGCCTTCTCAAGGAAAGCACCTGTTGCGTCCTCACACGTTTCCTCAATTTATTCAAAACCACACCTTTCCACGCAGCCAGCGCCATCGTCATCGTAAAATCTCGCAGATGCCACAGAGCCTCTTGCAGCCTGTTCTTCTTTGGTTTTGAGTAATCGAGTAGCCACTGCAGCCAGTGATCCCATGCGCGCCTGACAAGACCACCGCGCCAATGCTTAGCTGCAACATCGGCATACTGCCCGCACTGGTTCTGGTACGCGTAAACCAGATTCTTCCAGCCATAAAACGACTTCAGCAGTTCGGACTGTCGGTGTCGACTGACTAGTTTCGCATGCTTCCTTTGTCGAAGTGTCACAAGTCGCCATTCGTTCCAGAAGTCTCGTAGAAAAGCCTGCAATGCGTACTGTGAGTAGACTTCTAATTGTAAGCAAACTTACTTACCGCGGTGTGACTGGTTTTTGCCATCCGCAATTTTCTTGATCTTCTTGTGGCGACTCGCAATGCTTCAAATCCCTTTCTGCAGCACGCTAGCTTGAACAATCTGTCAGCAGACCTCCTTTCACACTGTCTGCAGGCTTCCACATAAAGGCCTTTCTTAAGCTTTGCAAAAAACCGCTTCAACATTGCCTTCCTGTATCTTTTCTCAGCTTCTTCATCTCGCTTCTCCTGCAAAAATTCGAAGACGCCGGATTCACGCTTTTAGGATATCATACTTTTCTCGTACCAAAGAAATTTAGTTCGCTTAGTTTAAACTAAGCGGCTCCAACCTCGGCAAGAAGGCTCTGAAGCCTGCTGCTATTTTCCTCAATTTTTTTCTTGAGCTCAATTGCGTCAGAAGCGTTTTTCTTGAGAATGTTGCGAAGGCTTTCATTCATTTCTTGCGTTTTTTCCAACTCCATCTGCCAGCCATAAGCATTAGAGGAAACATAAAAAAGAAAAGAAGGAAAGAGAAAAGACCTGGAGAGCTTTTGCTTCAGTATCCGCCTCAGATCGTTCGCTAACATCTGAACTCAACGCAGTCACTTTCTTTTGCAAAGCCATTCGCTCCGTTTCAAACATCTGCAAATAATCTTGCAATGTCTGCTCAAGTTCTTTTTTCTCCCCTTCCAGGACGCTTGCTCTACAGTAAACACATCAAACATAAAAGCACTGTAGCAACCAGGCAGCGTCACCTCTTGGACAATTTTTTCTGCAACTCGAGGGTCTGCTCCATGTCTTGATGGAGTGTGTTCATCTCACTCGCAGCCCTCCCCAGGTTCTCATGGTTCTGTTTCATGTAAATCTCGAGCCTAGCTTTGCCAAAAGAAAAGCAATCGAAAATGGAAAGGCCGATAGTTTTTCTTCATGCTCGCTCATACCTTTCGGTTAGCTGCTGGTTGAAACTTTGGAGCCTTTGCTCGGCTTCGATGTGTGCTTCCACATCAGCCTGGAGAGCAGCGACTTGGCGACGAAGAGTAGCGGCATCGGAGGCAGGAGGAACCATCAATCCCTCAGCTCTGAGCCGCGGTTTCACAAGTTTGGGCCTCGTCGGCGCCGCGGAGCTGTGATTTGTGCCCCCGACGCTCTCGGTGTCTCCTTGCTTGATCAATGGCGATGACAAGCTAGCTCCTCCGCCTTTGCTCCCGCTATCGACGGTATTATGATCCTCAGCGGACTGAGGAGCTTGCATCTGTCATCGCGCAGCGGCATTCTCATCAATATCGATCCTGAATCGACGACGCCATACCTTGGATTGCGTCTTGATTCTCATTCCAGCCACAGCGCGATCGATCGTCGTCTCTTGTTTTTCCTTTCGCTCTACCGCATTCTCTTTGAATTTAACCTAACTTAACAGTTCTATACCCCTTGCGGTTATGATTTCCCGATCCAACGGTGGGAAGAAGTCCAACGGTGTGGATTTGTCGCTATAGGACTTGCTTTTTAGGGTTCTTGGGTAGGGTTCTTGGCTTTTTGCTTGCGCGGCGATGGCGCTCGCATTCGACGAGTATGGGCGGCCGTTCATCATTCTCCGCGAGCAGGAGCAGAAGACTCGAGCGAAAGGTTTGGAAGCTCAGAAGGCGAATATTATGGCCGCCAAATCCGTCGCTCGCATCCTCCGGACGTCTCTGGGCCCGAAAGGCATGGACAAAATGCTCCAGAGCGGCGATGGCGATGTCACAATCTGTAAGTATACTTCTCTTTGCGGCATTGCTTTGTCTGATGGTTTTCGTTTCTAGCGAACGATGGCGCTACCATCTTAGAGCAGATGGAAGTGGAGAATCAGATCGGAAAGCTCATGGTGGAGCTCTCCAGGAGCCAGGATTATGAGATTGGCGATGGAACCACTGGTGTGGTAGTCACAGCCGGGGCGCTGCTCGAACAGGCCGAGATCCTTCTTGAACGAGGGATTCATCCTATTCGTGTTGCCGAGGGCTACGAGCAGGCTGCTAGGATTGCTGTGGACCATCTGTCGAAGATCTCTCACAGCTTTGAGTTCAGTTCCACCAACATCCAGCCGCTAGTTCAGACTTGCATGACAACGCTTTCTTCAAAGATGTAAGCTGGTTTTTCTTTTTCTCTAGCATTCCATTCCAACATTTCTATTCTTTTCTTTCTAGTGTCAATCGCTGCAAGGCATTGCTCGCGGAGATTGCCGTCAAAGCTGTTCTCGCAGTTGCAGATCTGGAGAGGAAGGATGTGAACCTGGATCTGATCAAGGTCGAGGGAAAGGTTGGCGGTAAATTGGAGGACACGGAGCTTGTCTACGGCATTGTTGTTGACAAAGACATGAGCCATCCACAAATGCCCAAGAGGATAGAAGATGCGAAGATTGCAATCTTGACGTGTCCCTTCGAGCCGCCGAAGCCAAAGACCAAGCATAAGATCGACATTGATTCCACCGAGAAATTCGAGGCACTTCGAGAAGCCGAGAAGAAGTACTTTGATGAGATGGTGCAGAAGTGCAAGGTATGCGTTTTCGCCTTGCTTATTCTCTTTTTGTCTCAATTCGCTTCTTTGCCTGTAGGATGTTGGCGCTACGCTTGTTATCTGCCAGTGGGGATTTGACGATGAAGCAAACCATCTGTTGATGCATCGTGGTCTGCCGGCTGTTCGATGGGTCGGAGGTGTTGAACTGGAGCTCATTGCTATTGCCACAGGTGAACTACATCCTCTCTTCTACTCGTGTTTTCTCATATTATACTTGCAGGTGGCAGGATTGTGCCCAGATTTCAGGAGCTGACGCCCGAGAAGCTTGGACGGGTATGTCGCAGGCACTTCGTTTTCGTATTCTTACTGATAGGCATTTCAGGCTGGGATAGTGCGGGAGAAGTCTTTTGGAACGACAAAAGATAGGATGCTTTACATTGAGCAGTGTGCCAACTCTCGGGCAGTGACAATATTTATTCGGGGAGGTATGTGTTTTCGTACTTGTCGGATCACGAGAATGACGCTGGTTGTTTACAGCTAGCAAGATGATGGTCGAGGAGACAAAACGTAGTATCCATGATGCATTATGCGTTGCGCGGAACCTCATCCGTGATAATTCTATCGTTTACGGAGGAGGGTCTGCCGAGATTGCATGCTCCATCGCGGTGGAAGCTGCTGCAGATCGGATTCCAGGCGTCGAACAGGTAATCTTTTGGCCCTCTGATAAGTTAGATTGAGCTGATTTTCTTTTCCTCTTAAACAGTATGCCGTTCGAGCTTTCGCCGACGCTCTTGATGGAGTTCCCATGGCGCTGGCTGAGAACAGTGGCTTGCAACCAATCGATACATTGACAGCCGTGAAAGCCCAGCAGATCAAGGTAGCTCTTGTTGTTTCGCATTTGAGCTATAGTCAACAAGATTGTTTTTTGTTGACAGGAGAAAAATCCCCACCTCGGAATCGACTGCAACGATGTTAAGACGAACGACATGAAGGAGCAGAACGTTTTCGAGACGTTGATTGGGAAGAAGCAACAGATTCTCCTCGCAACTCAGGTGGTGAAGATGATCCTCAAGATCGATGATGTGATCACGCCGTCGCAGTATATCTGAGCGGAGAGAAGCCTGGAGCCCGAATCTAACCAAAGCCAGGAGGTTGGTTCCATCTGGCTTGCAACTGGTCGTCTAGTTGAGGATAGGGGGCGTAGAAGTTTTGTCCGTCTTGTTGTATTGTGCTGTAATCTGGGAGGCTGGGAGAATAGCTAAACTTTGGAGCTTTTTGCTTGAGCTGATCCATTTGTTTCTGGTGTTGAGCGTTGCGAAACTGCTGCTGTCGAGATTGTCTCTCGCTAGATTGTGGTTTCTTCTCGTCGGCGATCATCTTTTCTTCGTGCTTCATGTTGGTACCCGGCACTAGATCCTTGTGTTGGTCCTTGACGTGATGCTCGAAAGCCTGTTTTTCCAGGAACGATTTGAGGCACCGAGGGGCACCGCAGATGAAGACGCCATCCAGTGCTTCGATCTTCCTTACTCGTGAAACCTTCTCATCACATCTAGGAAAGAAACAATGAAATTTCTACTTGATCATCGAGAAAGAAAAAATTCTGGAAGAACTTACAAGAAGCAGATGGAATCCTTCCTCGCACACGTTAGGCAGAAAATGTGCTCGCATGGATGCTGTCAAGAACAATATTACAATCGAATTCACTCCTTCGCTCTTACCAGCCGGCCGTAGATCGCGATGGGAAAATTACAACGCGTGCAGATGTGGACCTTATCCCCATTCCTGCGCTGCACTGCGTAGCCAAGGATTTTGATCTCGGCGACGCTGCTGGCAATTCCCGCCCCTCGGGCTTCGGGAAGCTGCTCGCCGGACAAATGCGGCGGCACCATGGATCCAGGTACTGGCACATCCTCCTGCTTACTCCTCTCCTCCTTGCGTTGCGCCGGCGGCGATTCCTGCGCCTTGAGCCTGATCTTCAGCATACTTCCACTCAAGAACCCTAATTCCTCCACAACGGACGGTGGATAGAGCTTATGCTCGATGGACGGCGGAGATTGAGAAATAGGTGGGCTGAATTATCTTGGCCATAGTGTACGGAACGGCGCGCGATTCGCGAGCGCTATGACGCTCGAAGGGCTTGGAACGGCGATGGCGGCAAGGGCTTAGTTCGAGCTAGCTGGCGAGCGGCGGCCAAGGCGGCAGCTGGGATTTCGAGGGAGATGGAGATGCGGCGCTCCGATAGCAGCGGTAAGTCCTCCTGCCGTTCCGGATTCCCTCAAACCCCTGGCCTGGAGCGTTTGCGTTCGATGATTGAGCGGTAATGCAGCAGCAGTGGAATGGAATGCGGCTGAATTGCGTGCTTGCAGGGATCGATTAGGAGCCTTTTTTTTTCTCTCTTTTACTTCCACTTGGAGTCATTTGTTTTTATTTTCCTAGGAACCGATGATGATTTGCCACCATCGCTTGCTGTGCCAAGAGCAAGTAACTCTAGAGCACTGGCTGGAAATGGCAAAGCTGGAGCAGCGAATGGAGGGAAGGGCATCGACCACTTGATACGAACACTAGAACAAGATGCGTACACCGCTGTTCTTCGTGCCTTTGGAGCACAGTCGGAGAACATCAGCTGGGTAAAACAACAAGAAAAACTAGATTTGGTTAGACCTTCGTTGAAAGCGTCGCTCACTCGTGTCAGGCTACTGGCAGGCCAAAGAGCGTCTTATCTCCGACTTGCGGAAGGAACTCAGAGTTACTGACGCGCAACATCGCGACCTTCTTGCTAAAGTGGCTGGTGATGATTCTCTACGTCAAATAAGGTGATCTTTGCGTGTCCTCAAAGCTTGCTCTTGCTCACCTTCGTTTTGGCACACCTCCAGGGATTTGAAGCAGTCTGGAAACGATCAAGCCATTCCCTCGGGCGCTAATGCGACGGCCAGTGCTCCGCAACAGTTACATTCTTCTCAACTTGTCCCGCAATCTCGGAAGAAGCAAAAGACTGGCGCTGTTTCTCACCAGGTAGCGATGCCTCCTGCTCCACCCCCGCCGCAGCCACCTCCTCCGGCGCCAGCTCCAGTTCCTAAATCTATGTCCAAGAAAGGTGGAGCAGCTCCGACAAGAGGCAAGAGCAAAGGGGTTAGCTACTTCAGCTGCCTAGACCACCTTTGATGTTCCTCGGTTTTTAAAACCTTGTCTAATGGTTCCCTTTCTACAGAGCTCGGACAAGATCTCTAGTCAAGGAAGAGGTCCTTCGCAAGGTAAGAAGAGGGATGCGCTAGAGGATCGATGGGTGGGCCAGTTTATAAAAATGCGCTGGCCAGATGATAACAATTTCTACGAGGCCTTCGTCCGAGATTTTCACAAGGAAGATGTACGTTACAGTACCTCGTCAGATATTCAACGCGTTTTTCCTTGTGCTTCTTGCAGGGGACCCATACTTTGGTGTACGATATGGGTACCGAGAAGGAAAGTTCTGAGCGGGTAGACCTCTCCAAGGTAGGCTTCGTTGTACGGACGATTGGACTGATGGCCTTCGGGTCTTCCTTTCGTAGATGGCCCCAGAGGATATACAGTCCAATGGCAAACATCAACCCGGAAAGAAAAACTCGTCTGCAGACAAGCATCAGGGATCCAAGAAACGAATAGAGAAGGCCAGTGTGAGCTTCCAGCATAAATCGAAAGGAGAGCGTAAATACAAACTTCCATCCGTAGATTCGTTGATAAAGCAAGTAAGACATGCGTGGTGCATTATACTTTTGGTCGGTGAAATCACACAGAAACTCTCCCTTGTCCAGGTTCAAGAGCTGGAACACGACGCCGACCCTACTAAAATCGAACACGCCAAACGACTAGCGAAAGTAAGTCGCACAGCTGCGATTCGTTGCGTACCAACAAAGATATGAATTCTGTGTTCCAGGAGCACGAGGAGTCATTGCGAAGGGCACTGGAAGAAGTTGGAGAAACTTCGGACGAGGAGAGCGGCGGTAAGTCTTTCAAAGTTTTGTGAGAGACGCTCCCTCGGAGACTCATGATTTTCGTTTGGAAGACGATAGGCAAAGGAACGAGAGCGGCAGGAAGAACATGAGCATGGCCGTCAACAGTGACGACGACAATGACCCCAACGGAGATAACCACAGGGATTGATTCTTGTGAATACGTCACGGTCAGGTTTTAGGAGGCTACGAGGTTTCAGGTTTCTAGTATATTGCTGACTTCAACATTGATTGGCTGAAGTTTACACGGATCGAAGTGTGCTCCAACTATGACTCTCTCTCTCTCTCTTTTTCCCTCGGTGAAAACATGCAGTCGACGATTTCAAAGAAAGATTATTCGGATGCTTCCAGGTTCCCAGACTCTTTTTTTGGTCGTGACTCGTGAATGGCTTCTTTCTCTATAAAAGCCAGCAGTTGGCAAATCTTTGTTCCATCATCGATAGCGCTCTCTTTCTCTGTCTCTGCCAAATCTCTCCCAGCCTACCGCATTCCTTGTTCTTCGCTTGCATAGTTTAAATCGATCTGCTTTCGAGCTATGGATCACTGGTATGACGCTCAGCTCGTCATGAACACCAGAGACTCGGACGATCAAATCCTCGACTTTGTTGGCGACATAACTCGCGACGTTGGCGCTGTTCAAGCCGGCATTCTGGAGCAAATACTCGCAAAGAATGCCAACGTAGAATACTTCAAGCGACACGGCCTGTGTGGAGTCCCAAGCCGCGACGATTTCAAGCGAGCCATGCCGCTCTCGTCCTACACGGACATCGAATCCGACATCACGCGGATGGCCAGCGGCGACGACTCGAGAATTCTCACCGATGCTCCAGTCCGTCAAATGCTGACAAGGTAACGTAACTTGAAAGAAATCTCCCGGTGGAAACTTACACAAGTTTAACTTGCAGCTCCGGCACCTCGGGTGGCAAGCAAAAGCTCTTCCCAAAGTCGGAAACTTACGACATCGAGTCCGTGTTGATGAATAGAATCTCTCGTGCCTGCTTGAACAAGTGAGAGTTATATCATTTGTCAAGCTGACAGATCATCTCACTCAAATCGTTGTTTCTCTTTTTCTTCAGACAAATACCGATCCAAGGCAAGAGCCTACAGTTCATCTACGTGCGAAAACCCGGAGTGACCCCCGGAGGAGTCGTAACTTGCTCGGGTCTCAGCGGATACTTCACCAGCCCCGCGTTTCTCAACCGGAAGATCGATCCGAGCTCGGGCTTCACCAGCCCAGACCAAGTTCTCCTCTGCGTCGACTTCGATCAATCCAGCTACGCGCACCTCCTGTGCGGCCTCGTCCAGTCCACTCAAGTCGCCGTACTCGGCGCGCCATTCGCGTCGACCCTGGTCCGAAGCATGAAACGCCTCAGCGATTGCTGGAGAGACTTGTGCCAGGACATCCGATCCGGCAAAGCTAACTCCAACATCATCTCGGACCTCTCGGTAAAGCACGCCGTGAACGCGCTGCTGCGGACGCCAAATCCAGAGCTGGCCGACGCGATCGAACGCGAGTGCAGCAAGAAGAACTGGCGCGGGATCATCACTCGCCTCTTCCCGAACGCCCGAGTCATCCAGACCATCATCACCGGATCCATGCAGCAGTATGTCCCGGTCATCGACTTCCTCAGCGGCGAATTGCCCATCGCCTCGCCGCTCTACGCTTCCTCCGAGTGCAGCAGCCTCGGGGTCAACTTGAGTCCTCTCTCCCCTCCATCGCCAATCCTCTACACCATCTTCCCTTCCTTCGCATACTACGAGTTCCTCCCAGTGAACTGTAAGAACAGCACCAGTGGTGATCTTGTGGAGCTGGCAGACGTGGAGCTCGGGAGGGAGTACGAGCTCGTCATCACGAATCGCGCGGGGCTGTACAGATACAGGGTCGGGGACGTGCTGCGAGTGGTGGATTTCTACAACAGCGCGCCGCAGTTTGCCTTCGTTCGCCGCGCGGGAGTGCTCCTCAGCGTCGACACGGACAAGACTGACGAGCTCGAGCTCCACACCGCGGTCGTCAACGCCTGCTCTTTGCTGCCGCAGGATGTTTTTGTGGTGGACTACACGAGCAGGGTCGAACTGTGCTCACATCCGGGCCACTACGTCGTCTACTGGGAGCTCTCCTTGCCGGTTTCGGATTCGAGCGTGGAGCTGCTCAAGCTGGAGGAGTGCTGCTCGATGCTCGAGTCGTCCTTGTCTGTGGTTTACCTGAGGAATCGGAGAGAAGGCAGCGTGGGAGCCATGGAGATCAAGCTCCTGCAGAACGGGACCTTCGATCGGATTGTCGACTACGTGGTTTCCAACAGGGAGGGGAGCGTCGCCCAGTTCAAGGTGCCGCGGTGCGCTAGAGATCCTACCATGATCGACATCCTCGAGTCCAACGTTGTCAGGAGCATACGAGCAACACATATTCCCCTTCCCAGGCTCTAAATTCCCTCTTTGGAGTCTTTTTCTAAGCTCGCGGCTTAATGATCACAAAAGTGATCGTGGGCCATGTATATATCTTTTGTCAATTCAAATTCAAATCGAATTCAAAGGGTGCACCACCTGAGGAAGCAGTCAAGTTAAAACATGTGCACATTTTAATGGCATCAAGGATAGAAAGGGTTTGGGGTTTATAATGGATGAGGCGAGGCATAGAAAGAAAAAGTCTTCAGGAGCAGGGATTGAAAGAGAATTGTCAGGCACTGAAGAAGAAATGGAAGAAAAAGAATCCTCACTACAGAAAATTGGTGAGCACGCTAAGGATCTAGTGGAGAAAGCTGTAGCCGATATAAGAGACGGACCTGACTCGTCAGGAAGGGAGCAAGGTGTTACTGTGGAGGAACCAGAAATCTTATCCTGGCTCTATGAGGAAATCAACGATCCGAACGAGTTCTTCCACAAGCTATTGCCATCATCGGCAGCACGGGAAGTTTTGCGAGCATTTAAAGACGTGTCACCTTCTTACTATCTCCACAGGCTGGAAGTTTTTCGATGGCTCTTGCCAGACATGCTTCCAATCCCCCAAACAGGTACTAAACTGTGTTTAAAAATCTTTAGCCAATCAAACTTTGTTCCTCGCGTCGTCACGTTGGCAAACAAGTTTCCCTTGTCTCGAAGGCGTGGCAGCGGCACAAGAAAATCGTGCAGCAATTCAGCAACTTAAACCGAGAGGAGGGCTTGATGCAGCTTTGCAATCTGTCGAGCTTGACTATTCCGTGCTTCTCAGACACATTGTTCTCTCCACCGCTGTCCTTTACTTACGTTGGCCGTCCAAAGCTCCGGTCTCTACTCAAAGAAGTGAAGGTTCAAAGTGATATCCACTTCCAAGGACATCCGGGTAGAGGCAAGTCGTATGTCTTGGCAGCCCTGGCGAGCTATCTCTACACTTACGAGCAAGAATGCAGTGATCGTTTATATTCTTTTGTCAGAGCTGGTTCAGTCGGCGGCGAAGCTGACGTATGTTTTGGAAGCAATTGGAAATGCTGGCATGTGACACCATGGGAAAGTTCGAAGAGTTTTGCAAGACGGAAATGCTCTGGACGTCGATGTCAATCAGTATACAATGAAGAGGATTGTCGAGTTGCGAGAGAATATCTGAGCTGGATTGTCAACAGATCTAGAGCTGTCTGGTGCACGACGTATAAGGGTGAGTTCATAGCAACGGATATTGATTTTTTTTCCTCCATTCAATGAGCCATTTGACAACGAAGAGTTCACTTCCTGGCTAGCCGGCTATAACTTCAAGGAACTAGACATCAACGATCTCCTATTTTACACTGGTCTCATACCACGACAACTGGCCAAGTTTGTTGCCAAAGGTACACCTGAGCCAGCGCTTTACAGAAGGAGAAGGGACTCGTACATTGCAGACATGAGGCGGGTGTTCAAGTATTTTGTCGAGCGTATGACTATGGAAGAAGCCGACGCTGTAGAGAAAGTTTTGGACTTAGGCTTCGAGCGGATAACATTGGACTACGTGTCAATTGTTCGTCTGAGAAAGGGAGTGTGCTTTGTCACTGCAACGAGTGTTGACATGGTGATCATCATTATGTCCGCCGACGAGAAATCCCTTGACATCCACCCGTCAAGCGTTTTTAATGGTCCCGTCCATCTTACACCACAAGGAGTCCAGACTTATGTTGTTACCAACACTGAAGGAGCCAACCTAGGAAATGAACATGTGACATTGTAGACATTTGTGAACGTTGACAAGTGTTTAGCCTTCATCGAAACACTTGTTATTCGTGAGTGGAAGCTTTTCGTTTGCTATTAAATTGAGATGATATTTTACTCCTGAAATTCAGCATCTGATCCTAAATAAAAGTTCGGTCTATTTGAAACCATCGACCTTAATATCATTACCAAGCAGTGCTGCATTTTCGTTGCTCGATACTTGAGTAAGGTTGGAGTTTGCACAAAAGGGGTGTAGGAAATAGCTGAATGCAAACGTTGAATCAATGATTTGCAAGAATGCCTTACAGACTTCTAATATTGGAAGGTGGCCTAATCCCTATGGAGATTTTAGCTAAGACCCATCAACCCAGCTGGTTGAAGTTTATACAGATCTAAATATTTAAAATGATTATTTTAGTTTAAAATACTAAAACCTTAAAAAATTATTCTTTATTGGATTTCTTACTGTGCACCAGAGAAGACATTCCGTGTTATTTGTCCTTTATTTAGTTTAGGAGAGAAGACATTATAGCATTCCGTGTTATTTGTCCTTTATTTAGTTGATGAGAATATCCATAAAAGATTTTAATATTCTTAGCGCGTGCTTCCATTTTTTCCGGGTTTGAGGAGCTGGCGATGACGTATGGAAGTCCCGAGCTGGACGCCTGCGAAGGTGGACAGGCCGGCGGGGAGGAGCTCCGCTGGCGGAGAAGCAGCAGCCGCTTTGATCCGGGATATGTCGGGACAGCAACCGCATGCTGTGGGGAAGCAACGAAGAATTGTGGAGGTCGATCTTCGAGTTTCTGGTGAGTACATGGAGAGCGTACATGACTTGACAACAAGACTGGTCCTCGTCCACCTCTCAAGCCCTGCCAGAGAATTCTAGAGCATCAACCTAGAACTGCCTAAGTTTTATAGCCGTTTTGATCCGGGATATGTCGGGACAGCAACTGCATGCTGTGGCAAAGCAACGAAGAATTGCGGAGGTCGATCTTCGAGTTTCTGGTGAGTACATGGAGAGCGTGCATGACTTGACAACAAGACTGGTCCTCTGCAACCTAGAACTGTCTAAGTCTTATAGCCGTTTTGATCCGGGATATGTCGGGACAGCAACTGCATGCTGTGGCGAAGCAACGAAGAATTGTGGAGGTCGATCTTCGAGTTTCTGGTGAGTACATGGAGAGCGTGCATGACTTGACAACAAGACCTAGAACTGCCTAAGTCTTATAGCCGTTTTAATCCGGGATATGTCGGGACAGCAGCTGCATGCTGTGGCGAAGCAACGAAGAATTGTGGAGGTCGATCTTCGAGTTTCTGGTGAGTACATGGAGAGCGTGCATGACTGGTCCTCGTCCACTGGGCCTGAGAATTCTAGAGCATCAACCCAGAACTGCCTAAGTTTTATAGCCGTTTTGATCCAGTCTCCATTCCCAGGGGGACGGGGTTTGCCATTCCCATCCCGCACTGGTGCGACTTCTGAGGGAAATATTGTGTTTCTACAACGTGGCTGCCGAGTCCATAGTGAAAAATGTTTTGCAGCAGGCTGTACAGCTTCAAACGTTCTCTACGATTGTTTCGTTCTGGTAAGTTTTTCCCATTCTTTTCTAGCGTCTTTGACTGGTTCCCAGCGTCTTGTTCCTCTGTTCCATGTTTTGACAAGACGAATGTTTGCAGGGATGTGATGCTTCCATCTACTTTGAACCCCAATCCCAACCTCGTAGAAGGTTGCCTGTGTGGCAGGAATTAGACTGGATGGAAGTTCGTATTATTAAACTGGATGGAAGTTCGTATTGGTCGTCGAGACAGTGTGACTGCGAACCCTGGCCAACGGAGAGAACCAGATCACAGCATCGACCAGGCTCTCCTTCGCAGCCTCGAGCACACTGCCCTCTCAAAGGCAACGCGCAGAGACAAGACACCGTCAAGTTTGACAATCACTTCGTTGATGCAAGGGTGATGTCTTTTAAGTTACGAAAGCTCGTCAACATTGAAAAACTATCACACCTAAAAATGTATTACATCCTTAAACAAACTTGTGTAAGGGCTTCAATCTAAGTTTACTGGAATTGATTTGCCCAAGTCCGATATTCCTCAATTTCGACCAGGCTCTCCTTCGCAGCCTCGAGCACACTGCCCTCTCAAAGGCAACGTGCAGAGACAAGACACCGTCAAGTTTGACAATCACTTCGTTGATACAAGAGTGATGTCTTTAAAGTTACGAAAGCTCGTCAACATTGAAAAATTATCACACCTAAAAATGTATTACATCCTTACTGGAATTGAAGTCCAATATTCCTCAATTTCGACCAGCCTCGAGCACACTGCCCTCTCAAAGGCAACGCACAGAGACAAGACACCGTCAAGTTTGACAATCACTTCGTTGATACAAGGGTGATGTCTTTAAAGTTAAGAATCAACATTGAAAAACTATCACACCTAAAAATGTATTACATCCTTAAATAAACTTGTGTCTTCAAGCTATAAGGGCTTCAATCTAAGTTTACTGGAATTGATTTGCCCAAGTCCGATATTCCTCTGTTTCGACCAGCTCGCCTAATTTAAACCAAGGAAGTAAGCTTTAGGATTAAATGTATGATTACCAGAAGAAATTGCTGTGCCTAGCACTTCCATAAAACGACGAGAATCCTCCCTTGGCTCCGAGCACATAAGGTTAGCAAACACTCTGCATCAAAACATTGAAGTATGCATGGAATAAATTGCTCACTTACTTGTCCATATTGCCTCCATATTTCATATAAAGACCTTTGAGATCTTTAACCTCGGCCTCTGAACCTCTATAGTGCTCACAAAAACTTTCGATGTCGCCGAGAGTAACACGCTATCATAAAAAATTATTGTAAGTATAAAGATTATAAAGCTATCACTTACCTCATTTCTTCTCCTACAACAGTCATACGGTGATGCGCGACAATCTCCTGATTCCTAGAAAAAAAAAAAAAACAAGGATGAATAACCAAAGAGAGAAAAAGAAACAAAAGAACAAAAAAGAACTTACAACACAACCCATTGCATCATAGAGTGCTCTCTTCTGAGGATCTCCCAAGATCACAAAAGCGTCATGTAACTTCTTCATTGTGTCCTGCGAGGGAAACAAGAGCTCAGTTTCAAAAAGAAATGCTAGATGAGAATCTAAACCCTGTCTTCCGGATTCTTGTTAGGATGCAGCTCCAGTGTGTGCTTAATGTATGCCTTTCTGATCTCCTTGGTCGATGCTACGTACTCCACTCCGAGGATCTACCCACAAACGATCACAAGCAGTCGCAAGCAGCAATGAATCCTTCAATACCTTGTACAAGCACCTAGTACTTCCATCGGCCTTGCCTCTTCCCTTCTCCATTTTTGCGAGGGTTTGCCTGCCTCCTGTCGATCTTATTCTCCCTCTTATTCTCCCGCCAGTCACAGCACAATATACTCACGAAGAAGAGAAGAGGGCAAGCCTGCAAGACATTCTTTTTAGCTCTGGTTCCTTGCATTGAAATGTACGCAGGCCTTCAAAACGATGGCTTCTCCTGCTCCTGGGGTTGGATGCCCAATCGATAGAGGATGTGGAAGATGCGCTGGGCAAGCTACCGCAGCTCCATCACGGCAGCAGGTGACATTCATCGGCAACTCCACCGATCCAGAGGTCCCGAGCATCTGTCGATCGGGAAGATTCGTCCAGAATGTTCTCATCCACAGATGTATGCGACGCCACGTCTTCTCCTGGAACATCAGCTCGACCAGGCACGGGAATTCTTTTCGCTCGATGCCACAGTCGAGCGTCGTTCCTTTGAACATTCTTCTTCGAGTACAAGGCATCTTGTTGAGGCCGTTTGATTCGATGCCCAGGACAGTCTTGTTTCATGGAATACATTCTTGGCAGTTTACAGACAGAAAGGACCTCCAGAAGTAGCGAAGGAGAGCTTCGACTTGTCGGATCTTGTTTCCTGGTCTGTGCTCTTGTCAGCATATGCCCGTCAAGTAAAAGGATTTGTTTGAGGCAAGGACGATAATACTGGAACCATCATTGAAAACGAAAATTTCGTGCGTGCTATAGGAAAGAGGACCTCGTTTCCTGCACTGCTGCCTATGACATTCTAATAGCTCGCGTCACGTACAATGTGACAAGAAAACTATGCGCGCGAAGTTCCGTGGCAACAGACTTTATTTCCTGGGACGGAATGATCGCAGCAGGACCCGGATTGCAACTCTGCTCTTCGCTTGTAACCATGGCACGCGATGGCTTCAAATCGCCATGAACACTGAGTTCCACAGGCCTGTCCTGTGGAGCTTCTACTCGTCACAGCATATCGAAAATTCTGGATGCGAAAGTATGTGGTCCTGTATCAAGGTCAAGTCGCGTAAACACGAATCTCGTTAGTAAGATCAAACTTACCAACACAGATTGAACGAGCTGCGTTAGTACGAGAAAAAGAGAAAAGGAAAAACGTTACTCGCTTGAGAAGTGTAGTTTAGTGTCTCGCTCATATCCACGTCGCGTTCTTCCTACTAAGAACAGTGCGATCGATAGATGTATAGTGTCAGTGTAGAGAAAGAATTAAGTTGCCTTGGCGGCGTTTCGGAGCTCCCTGCGCTTGAAAACCACGGGGAGGATGACGAGAAAAGCGAGAAAGAAGAGCGCAGCCAGCGTGCGCGAGTCGTAGAGATCGTTGAGGGAATTGAGCTGCGACAAAATTCTGCCCGCCTTGACAGCCACCACGCCCGCCGGGATGACACCGACAAAGGTCCCAAGAAAAAACTCCCTGCCACCACAATGATCATACGATCAGAGAGAGCTCCTCCAAAGTTCTCCAGATCAAATCACCTGAAAGGCACAGCGGCCAGCGGAGACGCGACATTGATGAACCAGTTTGGAAGCAGCGGGGTGATCCGGAGGAAAAGCACGTAATTCAGTAAGTTGTGGCGGTGAGAGTGGACCTCCTTGGCGAGGCGATCGCAACGTTCCGGGAAGTAGTAGTAAACAATGTCCCTGAGAATAAAGCGCGACAGCATGTAGCACAGCGAAGATCCTAGAGTCGCCAAAACCTGGAAACATCTCACTCGTCAAGGTCCAAGATAGAAAAAACGGTTTGATCGATCCTTTACCGTGACAAGGAACAGAGCTTCGAAGAAACTATAAAACGATCCAGCGAGAATGTTGAGGAAGATGGAGCCGGGGAGCATGAATGCCTGGAGGAACAAGTAGAGGCAAATGATCCCGAGCTTGATAAGTTGGCGGTGCTGCTGCTGGTAATTCCCCAAGGCCTCCCGGAGCGATCGCAGCTCGTCGATGTTCCTGGGGAATCTGAGATTCAAGAGCTGCTGCTGCTGCTCTCGCGAGATCTCGATGAATTCCCAGCCGCCGCCGCCGCCACGACCAAGGCTGGTGCTGTTGACTCGGGCTAGCGAGAACAAGAGGGCCACCAACATTGACAAGGAGGCGGTGAAAATGAGAGCCAGGAGGAAGATCCGGCGCAACCACAGAAACCTATCGATCTTGACGCTCTTGGACGAATGCTGCTGGTGATGATGGGCCGACTGCTGCTCCAGCGGCGAATTCCTGGCACCTAAACCCTGCTCGACTAGGTCCAGCGCGTCGAGCGCGTCTGGCTGCGGCATTTTGCCCCGATCGGGAAACCCTCAGTCTCACAGATCATTCAATCGCGCCGGATCCGCCAGTTGCTACGGCAGGAGCAGCTCCATTCCTTTCACTCTCCATTGGATTGATTCACAAACAACTAGGGTGCGCTTTCTTAAGGGTATAAAACGGGTTTTACCTAATTGCTGTGGATGTTCTTCACTAAACACCGCATCTAAGAATATGCTCTGTTGATAAACCAAATGTTGATTAATTAATAATTAATTTGATAAGCCCATTTATGTGGGGATCTAAACGTATGTTAATTTTTGGACCCACTAATAAGAAGGTATTTTAAAATGTAATCTGTCAATTGCCAAAAAAAATCTAGAAAACAAATTTCATTTAATAAGGTAAAACATATTTAACTTGTTATCTTTGAATTTTTTAAAAACATTAGTTAAATACAATAAATTCAGCAAGAGGTTTTTTTATTAAGTTGAAATAGAAGTAAAAATATTAACAAAGTAATCGAAATAATTGATTTTAGTGATTTCAAGCCACTATAGAATATTAAATTTTCGATATGGTGGCATCAATGCAATAAATTTCTTAGGGGCTTGGGCCTTTCCTTCGGGATAAAAGTGGGGGGGGGGGGGGGGGGGGGGGGTTAAGGTTCCCCTACTAAGTCCTTAGGCCCTGGTGTTTTGCCCTAATGTCTCCAAGTAAGTTTTTCCCCCAAAGCCTTAGATTTAAAAGATCCCATGATCAAGCCTTGTTGTACCAAGGGTTAGGGTTTAGTGTGCTTAGCTACTTGTGCCTGCGGAGAGTGTAGCCGAACCTTAAGTTCAGTCTAACCCGGGGAGGGGAATTGGGAGAGATTTGGGAATAAGTGGATGCATGGCTAACGCTTTGTTGCTCATGCAGTGAGTAGTTGAAACCAAGTAGAACCAAGTAAGAGCTAGTGCAATAGGTGGGAACCTTAGTGAGGGAACTTAGCAAAAGCTAAGGCAGTGTTGGTTAGATACACGAGGTAAGCTGGCAAATTGGAAAAGAAAAATTTATGGCTTATGCAAAGTTCAAGTAAAGTATCAATTTGTGAAGTTGAGCAATGGGATACGTTGGGACCCGAAGGCGTGCCGAAGGTAAGCTAATTAGCATGGGTTAGCTAAGTCGATCAGGCGTAAAGAACTACGCCCGACTCCCCACAGGGATGTCGAATTCGTAGATGTATTCTACGGAGGTTTGGTTCGAGTCCCAACCCCCTAGTAAAGCAAGGCTGGGTTCAAATCCCAACCCCATACTAGGGCGTGGTGGGGTGAGGGGTATAAGGACACCTATATTCCATTGTCATGGGCTCTTGGCCAGGGAGGCTAACTCAGGCACACCGCTAAGTGGGGGGATGCCCCCGGAGACATGGTCAACAAGTCGTTGGATAAAAAGAGACGTTCGATGTGGGCATCGAACTTCTTCTATGGGTGGTGGAGTTGTAAAGAACCAACTCCCTGAGGTGTCATAGGCTAAAGGATCCCCGAAAGCATGATTGAAATGACAAAGAGTTGGATGGGACCAAGTTGGAGATCGAGTCCAAGATCGACTCTGAGACCGAGTTCAAGATAGAGTCCGGGATCGAGTCCGAGGCTGAATCATAGACCGAGTTCAAGATCGAGTTCGAGACAGAGTCCGAGATCTGAATCGGGTTTGAGACCGAGTCCGAAGTCGAGTCCGAAGTCGAGTCCAAGATCGGGTCTGAGATCGAGTCCAGGACCAAATTGTAAGCCACAAATTTTTCCTTTCCAATTTGCCAACTCAATCTTATGTTCTATTGGTCGTGCGGGGGTCAACCCCGTCGATAGCTCCTCCGGCATGGTATCCTGGAATTGGTCCAACACCCGCTGGATCACTAAAGGTACTTCTTCTGTTCCCGTCTTTTTGTCACTCTTCACCGAGAGTAAGCACAAAAATGCTGCCTTGGTCCCTTTAGCGAGTTGTCCTCTCGTGAACACCAAGTTTAAATAAGAATCTTTGGCCTTGCATTGGCCTACCTTTAGATACTGGGCCTCCACCCTAGATCTTCTTCCTTGGGCATTCGCTAATACCACAAGGGTCCTACTTTGTCCATGCAGGGCTACCACAAACCGATTGAACCAATCCATTCCAAAGATCACATCAAATCTTACCATGTCCAACACGGTGAAATCCATATCTACTTTTTATGTCCCTACTTTGACTCTCGCTTGTCGAAGTACCTCATCGGTGCTTTGGCTACCTTGAACAAACTCTATAGTCCTTGGTTCGCCCAGCCGTTGCACCGTTAGTTCGGCTTGGCGGATTATGTTTGTAGCCACAAAATTATTCGAAGCACCCGTGTCAATAAAGATCTTAACAAAGCTACCCCCGAGCTTCCCTCGGAGGGCTAGTAGGTGTCGCAAACGACTCTCTACCAAAGTTGCTCGTGTAATGAGTAACTTTGAGCTAGGGATTGGATCACATACCTCAATTTAGATTTCACCTGACTTAATGGCTATATTGGCTCTGGCCTTCTTCGGGTAGGGACATTCCCTTGAAAAGTGTCCCGCTTCACCGCAGTTGTAGCATATGTTATTTCCCATGCTGCTAACCGTCTTGACCTTTTTATCCGTGGGTTTGTCTCTTTTTGCTTGACTCCCCCACGTACTTGCTTGCTGGCCACCAGATATGCCTTTCCGGAACCCAATGACTCATTCTTAGAGAAACTCTTCTTGAATCTCCCTTTGCTATATGTTCCCCTTAGTTTGGCCCCTTTGTTAAACGTGGACCTCGACCCCGTCGTGTTCCCCTTTCGCAGGTTATCATTGAAATGCACATTGATGGCCGCATCCAACGCTTCCTTGTAGTTGGTTGGGTTCTAACGCACCACCTCACTACGAGCCCAAGTTTGCAAGCCAAATATGAAGGCATGGAATAGTTCTAGAGCATCTAACATCCCATTGCTAGGACCAACATGCAAAATGGAGCTAAATGGAGTTTGGCACTATTTTAACATACCGGTAGCGTTCTTCTAGAAGAAGTTGGACAAGGCTCAACGGAAGTAGCCTGCCCACGAAAAGAAATTAATTGCAGTGGTCAAGGTGCTCAAAGAGTGGTGACACTACCTTGGGAGACACTGTAAGCTCTTGAATTTGAACTTCCCAGGAGGTCATCCAGCCTAGTACTATTCAAACCCAAGGACGCTTAACCCCAAGTATCCCAAGACCCTTAACTGATTGAAAAAGGGGGTGCACTCTTATTCATGGGCCCTTTCCCTTTATATTTGAACCCCATAGACCGTCTCTCGAGTGTAAGCTCTTGAGTTTGGACTTCCCGGGAGGTCACCCAGCCCAGTACTATTCAAACCCAAGGACGCTTAACCCCAAGTATCCCAAGACCCTTAACCGATTGGAAAAGGGGGTGCACTCTTATTCATGGGCCCTTTCCCTCTATATTTAAACCCCATGGATCGTTTCTCAAGTCGTTCCTTTTGGTTGCTTACATTAAGTTGTTCTCTTTAGTTGTTTACAGACTCTTCAAAGTTTACATGGACAATGTGGCAACGAAACACTTCTTGTCACAGCCCAACCTGAGAGGGAAATAGGGTCGGTGGGCCAATGCTTTAGCCAAGTTTGATTGTGAGATTCTGTACAAGCCTAGGAAGACCAATATTGTGGCAGATGCGCTAAGTCAAAAAGCGATAAAAGAATATTAACATTCTATTTTAAATAAATTTGCTTATAATAATTTATTTTACCACTTTTTTACTAGAAATTAATGTCAAAACTAGATTGCTATTAAAAACATAAAAATTTTATACTTGATTTCTTTTTTATGCATTACATGGTTATACAAAATTAAAATTATGAGTGCATGGAACATAGAAATGGAATATAGAAATATAAATGTAAATATAAATAAATAAATAAATAAATAAATAAATAAATAAATATATATATATATATATATATATCAGGTGCTCAAAAACCATAGTTTATATACAAGAGTGAGTGTTTAAATTAAAACCAATCTGATGGCTATTAAAATCCCACTATGCTAATATTAATATACAACATCGTAATTATATATTTGGAGCTCATATCATCCCCTCCTCTTGGAAGGATGAAAGGCAGTTAAAGTTCTCTAGTTGATGGGCTGGGATCTGAGGGAACATCAGGAAGAGGCATTGGAGAATTTGTAAGTGCTACTAGTGTAAACCATAATGCTTTTTTTTCTAATTTGCTATCTTATCTCATCTATCTAACAACCATGGCCTTGGTATTAATTAAGTTCCTTCAGCAAGGTTCCCACTTATTGTACCAACTTCTACTTGGTCTTACTTGGTTTTAGTAACTCACTAGGCCGGAAAGAGAGTTGTCAGGGACAAAGGATCAAACACGTAAATCAATTTCTCTTCTTGGAGAGATGATTTGCAACGAGGTGTTAACTCATTGCTCATGTTCACATCATGCAAACAAGAGTCCCTATCTTGATGCATGTTGGAGATGATAGTCTTACAATGGTGAGTTGTGGGATGGATAGCGGTGAAGTGCTATACCATTTTGTCTAAGCTTGCTATTGGAAGACGTGGGTTGCAATGTTCAATTCTTTTCCGGGGAACCTTGCTATTGCTCCTTGAGTAGCTTGGTGTTGGATTAGTTTTGAGTTTGGTCAGAAAGAGAGTGGCATGAGCTTGTCTGTGTTATGAACAAAAGTTAGTGGTGTTGGGTGTTGTAAATCTCTATCGATAGAGTGTGGCACTTATGTTGCATTTTATCGAATTGAGTTGGCACTTGATATTCACATAAACCTTTGAAGTAGTGACATGGGTGTTGCTCGTAGTGTTGCTTGATTGATGATCAAGCCATTGTGATTTTATATCATATCTATGTGATAATGAGCAATGTGTTTACGAAGTTGCTTGGGTAAACGATGATCAACCCTAAAGTGGTTGATGGTCTACTTGCACAAAGTAGCATTGTAGTAGTTTTGACTGGATTCTCGTTGGTGGTCCATTATGCCAAGCTTAAGTTGGTACTTTGTTTCCTTGAGTTTGCCCATTAAGGTGTTGGAAAAGGGTTATAGCATTATTGATCCCTTAACATTTGGAGTAAATTGTTGGATGGAGAAGGTGTGTAGTTGAGGCATTAACATCACTAGCACTA